CACAATTATGACACATCACGGCTTGAACTATCTTGCTTTGCATGTAATGTGTCTATCTCATATATTAGTTTCACACCTTTTAAGTTGCATTACTGAAATAAATGAACTTTTGCAAGATATTCAAATTTTTTGAGTTTCACCTGTAGAATTAGATAAATGGCAAAAACGTTGGGATAGAAATTATAAATTGACAATGACAACTACTTACAAGGAAAACATGTATAAAATGTTTTACCACAAGGCTAGCAAAAATGTTCAAAAACATATCCGCCAAATGTTGGAAATGCAATCAGATACTGGGCTTGTTATGTGGCGGACATGCCCAAAGGCAAAAAAAATTGGACAAAAATACATACATGGTTAGAGAAAATGATAAAGCAACACATAGATTTAAAGCCAGAAATATTTTTGTTAGGTATATTACCAGAAAAATATGACAAAGGGAACATATATTTAATACTACGTGTTTTGACAGTGGCAAGAATTGTATTTGCACAACAGTGGAAAAATGAAGAAACTCCTACAGATGAAAATATAATTTAAAAAATATTAGATTGTGCAGAAATGGATAGGTTAACATTAAAGATAAAGGATAAAGAAGATACATAATATTTTTCAACATGGGATTTTCTTTACCAATGGTTAGATAATAGAGGTAGAAATTAGAAGTTGGAAGAATACCACTATGTACAAGTGAATATTATTACTATTATTATGTATAAGCAAATTGACCCAGGCAATACTGTTTACTAAGCACTTATGTATGTTGAAGAGAAAGATATACATTTTTTTTAAAAAACTATTTTAACTCCTGGATCCCAAAGAGAAGTCCTCCCCCATCACTGATTTCCCAGATTCTTTCACTTCTAAGATTCCAGGGCATGAACACATGACAATGCGATGGCTGGAGCCTTAGTGCAGGAGAGAAGTTGCGTCCTTTTGCAAGTGGCTGGCAAGTTGCTGTGCTTTGGCATGTGCTCAAGGAGGGTCTCCCTGCACATGCACATGGCACCCACCCGCCACAGCCGGCCCCAGGGTCACGAGATGAGAAGGCGGGGAGGAGGGTCCTCCGAAGGGAAGTCTCTGCCATGGCTGGCGATCATTCCTCAGCCCGGATTTCCAAAAAGAAGAAATAAAAGTAGCAAAGTGCCCGAAGGAGAGCTTGCTGGCTTGGCCAGAGAGAGAGAGAGAGAGAGAGAGANTTCCTCAAGCTAAGTGCAGTCAGTGGTGCAGAGAAAAGACGGAAAAGAAACTGGATAAACAAATGGGTAACAACATTCTAATGTCTTTTTAGGTTTTAAAAATAAAGAGGCCAATCACACTCCTTTAAAAAAATACATTGTATTTAAACTCCTAACAATCAAGAGCATATAACTGAGGAAGAATGGGGAGATTAGGGGGGGGGGGGGCAGGAAAAATGTTAAAAGCATATGAATGCACCCTGATGGAGGAAAATCCAGTTCAGATCAGCTTTTGGCCTGGATTATGGTAAGCAACCAATTTCCCCAAACTGGAACTTCCTACACCACTTGTCCCAAAGATGCTTTTTCAAGAGGCAACTGGACTTTCTTATTATTCTTTGAAGACATTTTGCTTCTCATCCAAGAAACTTCAGCACTGAAGCAGCTTTTGTATTAAAAGCAAAACATCTTCAAAGAATAACAAAAAAGTCAAATTGCCTCTTGAAAAAGCACACCTTTGGGACAAGTGGTCTAGCAAGTTACCAAAGCATATATCTGCCGCTGAATGATGTAATAGGGACATGGAAAATTGGGTATATGACAAGTCACCACGGGCAACTCACCACAGCCAACTCACTGCAGGATAACTCATTGCTGGACAAGTGTTACACTAATACCCTAACCCTAAACCCTAACCCCTAACCCTAGATCAGAGGAACAGAACATTTCACACTTCCTTACTTAATAGGAGTAAGTGCATCTTAATCAGAATTCCAGCCAACCATGGCTTTCTCCAGCAAACCATTTCATCTCTCTCCATCTCTGCACATCCAACACTCCATGGCTGTCACTATGCTTGATCCTCGCTGGATTGTTTCTGGTTAGTTACCTTTTGCCTAATATGGCATTTATATTTGTATTTTTGCAAATCTAAGAAACAAAGAAGCTTCTGTAGGCTCGATTTCTATTTCCCAAGCAAGTTTGCCATTGGAGGAAATGTCAACTTTCCAGAAAAACACTGCAGGAAAAGAACCACCCTCATGACTCACATTGTTCTTGGCGTTGGGCTTCATGCCGATGGTGCCAAATATCTCCTCTCCTGTCTTCACTGTTAGATAGTCTTCCATGTAAAAGACTGTCTGTTTCCAGTGGGTGTAGGGAGATTCAGGACCTGAAGGTAGTAAGAAAATGAAAATGAACAGAGAGGGCAGCCAGGAGGAAAAAGAAGTACCCAAAAATGTTTCTCCAACCATGTCCTTGATTTAGTTGACTTTAGATGTTTTCCTCCAGATAAACTGAAGTTCTCTGAATACCCCAATAATTCTACTTTTCCATCTCTCATTCAGTAAAATCTACAAGAATGCTAAAGTGGGAGGATACCAAAGCTACTGAAAAAACAGCCTAGATAAACCTGCTGCAATAGTCCTGTTTCTCAGCAATAGCTTACTGTGTTTCCCCGAAAATAAGACCCAGTCTTATATTTTGGGAGGCTCTAAAATAAGCACTAGAGCTTTTTCCAGGGATGTCTTATTTTTTTTCCCCATGTACAGGAGGCGGTGAGTGTGGGGGGTCGCTGAGCCAGCCCTCTCCGTCCCACCATCTGCTTGCCCATAGCCGCAACAGGCCAAGTTCTTGGCGCACCCCGGCCTCCGCCCGCCCTGCCTGCTGGGACACTGGAGCTCCGGTCTTGCTCAGGCTGCTGCTACAAGGTAGGTCGTGCAGTGTGTTGGGCCCCCCCCCCCCCCCCCCCCCCCCGGCTGCCTCTGCCTGCTGCCAGTGGCCAGCGCCGCCGTGCGTTGGAATTGCCTGCCTCCATTAAATCCATCCCACCATCTCTTGGCAACTCACATAGCGCATCAGGAAAGCCTCCCCCCCCCCCCGGTGCCTCTGCTGCTGGGCCTGCTGAACCGGCTGCTGCTGGCCACACAGGAGCTCTTCGCCCTCCTGGCTGCACTGCTCTCGGCTGCCCTGCTTTAGACCAGTGCCACCGCCGTAGGCCAGGTGGCAGGATGTGTGTGTACAGCTGCCTACCTATGCCTCCCAGACTCCTGCCAAAGAGGCGCATGGCAGGGGCACGCACTAACCTGCCTGCGGGATTGCATGGGGCAGCTCCAGCGGAAGGTACAGTAGTGTAGGCTGCTGGGTACCGTAGCAGTCTGGGCTTGGTGTAGGGCTGGCCCGAAGGCGAGAAAGTGGCAGCAGAGCAGTCGCAGGTGAGGTAAAGCTCCAAAGAGCTACTTGGGAGCTGAAAATCCTCCCTGCTGAAATCCAAGCAGGAAAGAGGGGATGGTTCCATGTGAGGGGCCGGCAAGCACACCTACCACTCACTTAAATGGAGTACACACTAACCTGCTGCTTGTGCAAATGAGTGTGTGTGTGCACCCGCCGGCCATTTCTGCAGCCTGCTTGCAAACCCGCCGTGGCCCACAGGTAGGGGATCCCTGCTTTATTGCTTCCACATCTATAGACAGAATTTTGCCAAACTAAGCATTTTACTATTAGGGAAGGGATGGCTTCACCCTCTTTCTCACACACAAAGAGGGGATGGTTCCATGTGAGGGGCCAGCAAACACACCTGCCACTCACTTAAATGGAGGCCGGCATTACCATTACAGAACAGGTGTGTAGCTGGTGCTCAGCAGCCCAAAGTCGATGGTGGGTGAGGTGGCGCGGCTCCACCGGCAACCGCTGACGAAGGGCACTTGCCAGGCTGGCAGTGGGGGGAAGGCGCTTCGGACCTCATAGATCTGGGCCAACTCGCCCTGTGCCAGGTAGGAGCAGCCCAGCAGGGCGGCCGAGAACAGCGAGGCCAGGACGACGAAGAGCCCCCATGAGACCAGCAGGAGCAGGTGCAGCAGGCCCAGCAGCCAGGCAGAGGGATGGGGGGAGGCGATCCTGATGTGCCATGCAGCTTTCTGCCTCATCATTCTAGTAGCAGCAGCCTGAGCAAGACCCAAGCTCCAGGCCTGGCAGAGCACAAACCGTGGTCACCACCTGCTCCAGAACCACAAAATGAGCTGCAGAACAGAGGAGCAATTGTTGGCAAGGTTGCCTAGCACCGGGGGCAGCGCTGGCGAGTGCACGCAGCAAACTCCTCCAGGCACCTGGAGAGATGGAACGAGAGGCAGCTCCCGGCTCTTGCTGGCTTAGCTGATCAGCAGGGCTGCGATTAAGGGGCCAAGACGGGTCCAGGCCAAGCTTGGGGTGGCGCTTTACCCACATTGTCAATCCCAGCGCTAAGCCAAGTCGCACACCCACTCCCATGCACTTGGCGCCAAGGTCTGGCCGCTGGAGTCACACTGGTGGGGAGGGAAGGGGCCGAGCCTCCATGAGGTGACTGGGGAAGGGAAGGAGCTGTCGTGCTAAGTGCCGCCTCAGGGATCGCTGCCCATATTTGTGAGGGGACATGTCGTTGGGTGGATTCCCAGCCTGGAGGGCGGGGGTGTGGGGAATAAGTTTTCTCCTTTCTCCTATAACAGTGGTATAGGGAAAATTGAAAAGGGGGGATGTGTCCCAACAAAAGGAAATAAAAAGCAGACAAAAGATCTTACGGAGGTTGACAGTGGCATAGGGAAAACTGAAGAAGGGGGTTACGCCCCAACAAAGGGAGATGTTGAAAGATTTCTTTTGGTTTGACAGTGGATTGGGGAAAATTGAAGAAGGTGGATGTGTCAAAACAAAGAAAAGGGAGAAGACATGAATAGAGAAGTGGGACAAAAGACTTACTAGGAAAGATCAGACAATTAGAAATTGTTATATGGGGAAATATAAAGCTGAGATATGTGGTTTACTCCTAAACATGACAATAAAATTGAGTTGCTAACTATTTGAATATGATAATGGAAAGATAATTAAATAAAGTTTAAAATATATGGAATAAGTTTTCTCCTCTGGCTTCAGCTCTTCGGCTGGGGCGAGTTACAGCTTCAACTCAGGCCTTCAATTCATGTGGGCTTCTGAATCGGTATACCCAGAAGCAAGATAGAACACCCTCCCTTTAGTTACTTTTTTTTTTTTTTGCAGTGTTTTATTTTCTGTCCTTGGGCCTGTGTTTTGCACATCTGTTGTGCCCGCCCACTACGTCCCACCATCTCTCTGCTTGCCTGCAGCTGCTGCCAGACACTTGCCACCTCCTGTGCTGGCCGCACCCACCCGTGGCCCTGGGCTGATTACAACCTTCACTAGGGCTTATTTTGGGGGTAGGTCTTATTTCCGGGGAAACACGGTAGTTCAGTGTTACTCAACCTTAGCTACTTTGAAACATGTGGACTTCAACTCCCAGAATTCCCAGCTGGTATGATTGGTTAGGGAATTCTAGGAGTTCAAGTCCATTAAATTTCATGTTGCTAAGGTTGAGAAATACAAATCTAGCCTTTCCAGCAGTGTTGCATTACTGTAAGATATTAACTAGTCATATTTTAAAACTGAAAATTCCACTGGTTTAGTTTTATCCTTTACCAGAATATTAACATTTTAGCACCCAAACTCCCCCCACACTGGATAAAATTCCCTCCTTGCTGATTTCCCACACTGAGGCAAAAAGTGCCCTTACTGGTAGAGAATCCAGTTCGTTTGTGGCATCGGGTAAACTCTATGTTGAAATAGGCGACCAAGGCATGGATGTAGTCATTGCGCTTCACTNCTTTTCAGAATGTTAGCATGCATTTTGTTGTGTTCCTTAACTCCTCTATCACATAACTTGGCTACTGGGACAAATAGGACTGAATTTTAGACCCTTTCCCAATAAATTCTCCACCACCCTTCTTGTCCCCCGCTCTCATCACTCTATTTCTTCCAGTGGCAAGAAATTTTGTTGCACCAAACACCACAACACAGGGTAACCACACTAAATGTTGATAGGCATACGGAAACTTCAGAATGGCAATCTCCAATCAAGAATAAACTCTTGTTAAATTGAATCTAATTCCCATAAGGACTTTTAAGTTGAACATTAGCAGGATGAACTTCCTGCAGTAAGGTAGACTACCTGTGGATTTTATTCTGCTAGTCGTTGCTGACTATAAAGGGAGGTGCTCATCTCCGTTTCAAGGCCATTGAGCCAGCACTGTCAGAAGACATTTCCAAGGTCATGTGGCCAGCATGTTACAGAGCGTTGTTACCTTCCCACCGAAGTGGTACCTATTTATCTACTTGAATTTGCATGCTTTTGAGCTGCTAGGTTGGCAGGAGCTGGGGTAAAGATGGGAGCTCACCCTGGTGCATGGAGCTCAGGTCTTGAACCTGGGCTGCCGGCTTTCCAGTTGACAAGCCCAGTGTCTTAACCACTAAGACACCGTGCTGCCCCACTTGCTGCAGTACATAACCTTCAATACGTTTAATTTTGGGCACCTAAATATTAAACTCAAAGTACACTAAAATGGAACTTTCACAATTTGCCAAATATGGCAAGATGTTAAGAGTTCTTGCATGACACTTTAAGCAAGAAAGCCCCAAATCCCAATTTTATACAGTATTCATTTTAAACAAGATCTTTTTAACTAAGATTTTTTTTCCTGAACCATCTTTTATATATTCACAAGCTTATGCAAATTTCATCAATTATGCCTGAGTCATGACTAAACCATGTTCTTTTCTTAAAATAAAAGCTACAGATTAGCTGGCCTTCTCCCACAAGCTAAGTGCAGTCAGTGGTGCAGAGAAAAGACGGAAAAGAAACTGGATAAACAAATGGGTAACAACATTC